AAACCCGCATACATTCCAAGACCCTAGTCTGATTTCCTTACTCCTACTTTCTACTTTCCCGTGCCTTTCAGGATTCCTTCTGTCCCTCGTTTGTCTTCCCTTCTGCCTTATCCTTTCGCTGCTCCCCCCTTCCCCTACTTTGGCTTGCTTTCCATTTTGATCCTTTCAAACCTCCTGCCCCCCTTTGTTTTCAGCAAGCCTTGGGCTACGCCTTACTTCCTGGATCCTATTTGCTATGCACACCCTCCAACCTAGTCTCCTCACCTACGCCGACATCTTCTCTACTTCCAGTCTTTCCCATTCTGCGCTTACTCTCCTTCCAAACGTGATTCTAAAGTGGTTTCCTTCCCTTTCTACCCCCCCCCGTGCGAAGCAATATAATCCTACTTCTTCACATATACGTTTGAACTCCAACCTTGTCATGTCGTTATTGACCCCAAATATCAACACTACCAGTACTGCACTTTTCCATTCTCTCCTTCTCCACCCTTTGTGCCTTGTCGTCTCCCTCCTTATCTCTTTCGAGACTATCTCGTTGTTTTTGTTTGAAGTGGGATGCTTTCAAATTATTGGGACTTCCCAATCCTAGTACTTGTTGAGGGGGGGGGGCATTCCCTTGCCCACCACCTGGAGACTTTGGGGACTTTTGACTTGGACGAGCCGAGCGTAGAGTACCCTTTTCGCGCGCTGGTTGGTTCGCTGTTGTGGATTGCCTTGTTGACTTGGCCGGATATTGCGAATTCGGTGAGAGCAGGGGCGAGGTACTGTAGTGCACCGAAGTTGATTCACTGGAAGGCTGCACTTAGCGTTTTAGGACATGCAGTTAGTGTAAAAAGGGTTTGCCCGACACGAGATAAGGTGCCCCAAGCCTTAAATACTGACATGTGGTGCCCACATACCTCCCCGGATACGAGCGAGCGGACAGCTCAACATCGTAGACAAATACGCGGGTACCACGACGCACCCCCCCGTAGTATGTACGGTAACCGGAACCCGACCGGCTGGCGGCGGACAAAAAACCTATTTCCACGTGCCCGGATCCGAACCCGGGACTCTAACATTGCAAGGATGACATCCTGTCGCTGACGCCATTGTAAAAAGGGTGTTTGCCCGACAACACGAGATAAGGTGCCCCAAGCCTTATATACTGACAACATGTGGTGCCCACATTAGGACTAGTTCTTTGGGGGTTTCTTTTCAGAGGGGGACGGTTTCGGGATTTTCTGTGATTGCGTTTGTCGACGCGGATTACGCTTCGCGTGCGGCAGACCGTAGGTCGGTTTCGGGAGGGGTAGTGATGTGTGCAGGAGGGGCGATTGCATGGTTCTCCAAGACTCAGAAGTGTGTGACTTTGTCTACCACGCAGGCAGAATACGTGGCGATGGCGGACATGGGGAAGGAGATTTTGTTTTTGAGGCAGGTTTGGCGTTTCATTTTGCCTAAGGAGTTGCGGCCGTGCATTTCTCTGTATTAGGATAACGAAGGGGCTATCCAGATCGCAAAACACCCGGTCTCGAATTCCAACTCGAAGCACATCAACGTGCGGCATCACTTTCTCAGGCAGCTCGCCGATGAGAAGGAGGTAGAGATCATCCACGTAGCGTCGAAGAATCAGCATGCCGACTTCCTCACGAAGGCGCTACCTGAGAGAGAGTTTGTTTCCCACCGGGACTACGTGATGAACTTGAAGTGAACAGTCCGGGGGATCCTTTTCGTTTTTGAGTCTCGTGTCTTTCGTTTTGTTTCGATTTTTGGTTTTTCGTGTTATTTGTTTGATTTTCTGAGAAATCGAGTTCAAGATTGACCGGTGGAAATTGTCGGAAATTTCTGGTTTTATGGTTGGCAATGATGCAAACCGATAGGAATTCTAATGAATGTTTTTGGTGTAAGGGTTCATAGTGTTGTGGCAAGAATGCAGTTTGGGATGAAGGGAATGTCTCGCACTAAATTTTGTTTCGGTCAGGTGTGTGGTATGTATGGGAGGATAATAAGGATAGTATATTAAAGTCCGGGTGTGGTCTTGTCAATGCAGCGAGTAGGGGGACTGTTCGACGTACTCACAGCATCGACAGATCATTGCAAGCAAGAAATTTCCGAGCAGATGGAGCGGGGAGTTTCGGGGTTCAGCAGTTGCTTTGGATTAGATTTGGTGGTACCAACTTTGCCGCATATTACAGGATTGAGGGTGGGGGTATGTATGTGTCTACAACGGATGATGATTGTGTCTTGTGGCTTCTCACTTGTTTTTCTTCCTCTTTTTTCTCCTTCCTGTGTGCAATCAAGCCCTTTTTCCCCGGCTACCACGCTACCACGGCTATCACGCCACGACTTCCACGCCAATCCTGGCTATCACGCCACTCGGCTATTACGCCTTCCGGACATCCACGCCCTTACTTATTCCTTTACACCACGACTATCACGTCACCAGGCTTCCACGCCACATCCAGAGATACCATACCCGAGCTATCACGCTCCATCCCAAAGTAGAAGGCTGTCACGCCCATCATAGTTCCTACACTGTACCGTTGGCGGCTACCGCGCCGCTGGCATTTTTATTTCCCAACCACGGGACCCCGCGCGCCAAGGCACCGACGCACAAAGCTACTCAACACTCTCGCGAACTTAAAAAAAAGGTCTATTATAGGGGCTCCGTGACTGTATCAATGAGGTACCCCTATTTGAAAAAATGGACCAATAACCAGAAACGGGTATACCCGGGTACTTTATCACCACTTTCGGGTACACTTAGAAATCAAGACGTTTGCACCCCCAGGCTGTCAGCTGATTGGCCGAAAAACCATTGTACCCATTTTGGGAGAAAACCCCATCGGGTACAACTGTTTCTGGCAATAGGACGCTCTGGAGTACCGATATTGGTTACTGATGTACCCGGAAGTGGTCAATTTTGTACCCAGAAATGGTCATATTTTCCTGGCGCCCGACGATCTAAAACCCGCAGAACAACCCGTGTACCGCACATACCCGCACGATACACCATGTACCGCACATACACCACACACAGCAGGGTGGTACCAATCTCCGACAGCCTCCTCCGTAGATCGCGGCGAAAAACCAACCGCCGTGCTCTGCTGTGCTGCTGCTGCTGCGCTGCTGCTGCGCTGCTGCTGCTGCGCTGCTGCTGTGCCTCGCAAGCATGAGGCAGGTCGTGCCCGTTTTGTTTCTCTGTCCTTACCCAATGTACGAGCACCACAGCGAGCTAACTCGCGGATCGAGCGAGTTCGACCCCCTGTAGGAGAGGGGCCCGGGCCCACGAGTCAAAATACGTAAGNTGGAGTACCGATATTGGTTACTGGTGTACCCGGAAGTGGTCAATTTTGTATCCAGAAATGGTCAGATTTTCCTGGCGCCTGACGATCTAAAGCCCGCAGAACAACCCGTGTACCGCACATACCCGCACGATACACCATGTACCGCACATACACCACACACAGCAGGGTGGTACCAATCT